CAATATTAAATAATTGAACCACCGTCCATCTTTCCATTAAACAATACAATTAAATTGTTTAATTTGCTAAGTTACATTTATGGCCCTTTAACTTTTAGGAACTTGTCAATTTGTTCATGACTCTATAAATCTTAACACGTAGGCCCGAAACGGAGATTCGTAGCCAAAGTTATGGCCATTTCCGTGAAGCCCCTTTAGTCACACGATCGTGGGCCTCTAGGAACGCAAGGGCCCGATCCTCCACACTAGGGCCCGCATCAGAACTTATGGAGTATGTTGCAGAATGATTGGAAGTTGTTTTGGTCAAGAAACATTCGATCGAATTGATCACACGAAGATAGAATATGCAATCTAAAGTTAAAGGATGTTGCTGACAGCTTTGACCCATGTCAGTATTTTGACCATATCTCGAGAACCGTAACTCCGATTGACGCGATTTAAAATGATCTGAAAAGTAGACGAAATTTCGGACGTCTTGGGAACAACATGTGATCACAACTATGGTCCATGCGATCACATGGGGCCTTTATGCGATCGCGGGTTTGGTCGCAACTTGTCTTCGAGGTTTTTTTGTGCCAAAAACTCATCCGGGAGTGAAAATTCAAAACCTGCGGTCGCAGGTTGGCCAAAATTTCTCGAAATGGCATCCTACTTCATTAAAAAGGCCCGAGACGCGTTTTCTTCAAAACCTGCGATCGCAGGTTGTGTATATGCGATCGCATGCACGTCGTTTTTGCTGCTGGACGTATAAATAGACCCTGATAGCATTCATGTAACCGAAGTTGGCGATTCCAGAGGTACCAGACGACAAAAATACGATTTTGGAGGCGTTTATTCTCCGATTTCAACGATTTCTGAAGATCTGAAGACTGTGGATCATCTTCTTCAAGTAGATTAGTAAGATTAGTTGTTTGATGTCTCTTTTCATTTGTTTTTATCAGATTTTAGCCATGTCCGGCTAAAACCATAGTTTTCAGTTCTGCAAAGACAAGTACTTTTCATGTGATTGATCATTAGATCAGGTTTTTGATTTGTGTTTCTATCTAGATTCTTCGGTTTTGTTCTTAATGAATGTTTGATTTTAATTATTGTTAGTCTGATCACCTAGCTAGGGTTTTATCATTCCAGTTAATCAGTTAATAGAATCCGTAATTGTTCTTCTCAACTGGTAAAAGTAACAAGTATCAGATTGGTTCCGTTTTGGGATTTAACCCTGATATAAACTGGAAAAATCATATCTTTATGCTTTCGAGCTTGTGAGAAGTATTGGGTATTGCTAGGAATTTTACAAAGAACTTAATGCAACTTTTCTGATCTTAATTAAGAGCTTGTTTGATTAGACAGTAAAAAGTTAGGGTTAATTGAAGAGCTTGTTTTGATTAACTAGTTTAGGTAAAAGAGAAATTACTAGAGCTTGTTAGTTTTTCTCAGTACCAGCTTAGATAGAACGCATCTCAAATAATCAGATCTGGATCAGTTGCATGATTAGGAAAGTCACAGCAGAACTAGAATTATTTTTATTCTCGATTTTCCTTTCATTTAATATCACTGCATTTTTAGTTTTTAGTTTAATCAAAAACCCCCCTTTTATAATTTCTATTTTGACTAGATGTGCCTGATGCAAAAAGGCATTGACCATTAGGCTATGTCCCTGAGGATTCGACCCTGCTTCCCTGTGCTATATTTTTAGTGCATTCCAAGCAGTGATAGATTTATTTGTTTAATACGTGCGCGACAGTGTGTTAACAGTGGTATCCATTACTTTACTATGTATTCAGCTTCAGCAAAAGAACATGAAACAACTTATTGTTTTTTTGTTCGTCCTGAAATTGGGGCTCCTCAAAACAAAACAAGACATCCAGTTCGATATCGTCTAGTGAACCCACACCCAAACCAATCCGCATCACAGAAGGTAGTTAGCCCAAGGCCTCCCGTTCTTGGAAGAAGAATACCTTGACCTTGGGTGGCTTTTAAGTAACAAACGACATACATGTTAGCATCCAAGTGTTTTTTCGAGGATCAGAGACAAATTGGCTAAGCAAATTCACTAGATAAGAGATGCCCGATCTGGTTACCTGTAAATAGAAGAGTTGACCAATCAGTCGATGATATTGAGTGTTTCAACAGGAGGTCTATTAGTTTCTAGATCGAGTGGCAAATTTTGCTCCATGTGAAAAAACTTGGTCGACAACCTTCTTGACCACTGTCTTTCAAGATATCTAGGGTGTACTTTCTTTGATTGGGCACCAACCCCTCTGTTGTGCTAGCTGCTTCGATGCCCAAGAAATAATTTAGAGGACGAAGATCTTTGATGCTGAACTGATTGTGTAGATGGAGTTTGAATTAATTAACTTAGCATCGTCATTCCCCATTAGAATGGCATCATCAACGTAAATAAGAACATCGATAAAGGAGGCGTCTGTTTTGTAGACGACGAGCAAATGATCAGCCTTGGATTGTCAATAAGGCATAAGTGAACTTTTGATGCCCGTTTTTAGATGCTTGACGGAGAGCATAAAAAGATTTATGTAGACGACAAAACCGAGTTTCTATGTTTCTAGCAAAGCCTCGAGGGATCTTCATGTAAACTTCCTCTGCTAAATAGCCATGTAGAAAGGTGTTATTTACATCCAGTTGATAGATGGACCAATTCTTCTTAACTGCCACGACCAACGTGCGAACAGTGACCAACTTAGCGACATGAGAAAAAGTCTCGTGGAAGTCGACCCCTTCCATCTGTGTAAATCCTTTGCAACAAGACGGGCATTGTAACGATCCATTTCTCATGTTGGCTTGAACTTGATTTTGTACACCCATTTTGAATCAAGCGCTCATTTTCCGGTAGGCAAATTCTTAAAAGTCCATGTCCTGTTTCGTTCGTTCCAGAGCATTGATTTCATTTTGCATGGCTTCTTGCCACCGAGCATCTTTAGCGACCGGCGACCGGGTAATAGTTTCGTGGCTCATCATATTCAGTGATGGCAACTAGATAATATTTGTGAGATTTAAAAAACTTTTCATAAGAGACAAAGTCAGACAAAGGGTGTATCGTTGAGCTGTCGCGAGTAGCTTCGGGTCGAATGTGGTCTATGGAGGGAGGCAGTTTCGTAGTGAAATGGTTAAGATCTCAAAACTTCTTTGATTGATTGAAAACACATCCAGAATATAAATACAAGAGTCGAGATAAAATAGGAAGGGATAATCACTAAAGCTAAACAAAATATTCTAAATAAAAGAAAGATATAGATAAAATGGACGGATTCCTACACATTGTTTGATGCATTTTTGTTAAATCAAGGTTAGAAATGTTTTAAAACTTAATTTTGTAGAGACAGTATGAGGAGTATTAGTGAAATATTGAAGCAATATGCAAAGTATTAGTGAGGTATTGGGATTTAGGAACATTGTAACGGTGCAACTCCGAAGGAGAATCTTCCTTAAAATTTTGTTGAGAGGATTCATGACCGTTAATAGTTTCCACATTTGAAGGTTTCTCCCTCTTGTAATCCCCATGGTGCTCAGTAGCGGAGATATGGTGGGGGGGGGGGGCAGCTGGATGCTGCGCCTCCCCCAACTTTTCTAATTGAAGTAAATTCTAATTCTAACTGAAAAGGCACCTATCAAATTGATAATTAAACCCCATAGCCCCTCCCATCAATTTAAATCATTATTTACCCTAAATCCCAATCCTCAGTTAATTATTTTGGAGACTTAGTGCTGCTTTTCAACTCCAATCTCCAAGTCAAAGTTATTTTACTTTTTTATATATTCTAACTTTTTTCTAATTTACAATTAGTAACATTATTATAACTAGTAGTTTAGTTTATTACAAATATAAGGTAAATAGTAAGAAACAAGGATCCGTGGTTTTTTTCGTTACTAAAATAAAATGTTCATAACCACAATTGCATCTTGTTAGTGATAATTATAGAGAAATATGTTCACAATACACGCCTACAACCTAACAGGATTAGTAATATCGAAAAGCCAATATTTCTCGTTCAAGTTTACTAACCCTATTACGCTATTTAGTTATAAATATATTTTGATACTTTATTACAACGTAAACCCCCCTTATTCCAAAAATTTGGCTCTGCCCCTACTGCTGCTAATGTTTTCTCCCTATGTGGATGTATAGAATTTCAAAAAATATAGGTTCCAAATATTCACCTTATGTGTTTCGATACTTCTATAAACCTGCATTAAGATATGTCTTTTAATGCTAAATTCATTTTCATAGGTGTGATCAGAGTGTGTGGTTTTCCCACAAGTCACACACCTGTAGGGACGTATATGGATGGTTCCAAGCTGTCTATTCACAATTTGTACTAATTAAAAGCTCCCACATTACCTTTTTTTTGACATTTAAATGGTTATTTGACGCAATAAGCTCTTGAAAAAAGCTCATAATATGGTTGCGCTAACAGTCGATATATTTGATAGTGCTAATGATTGTCATTAATTCGTCTACACAAATAGATATTTCTTTGGTTTTACTTGCAGCTTTATGATCATTTTAGCATCATAAGAACTTAGATTTAAGTATAATTGATGAACAGAACAAAGTAAGTTACAATCACTACTAGTGTTGAAGTTCTTTTTCTTGTGTGTTCATATCTCTTTGAATTCCGTGGTACTGTAAATATTTCTTTGAACATACTCAGAACTTAGATTTAAGCATAATTTCCTCTCTTGCCAGATGACACGTTCCAAGAGTGTAAATATTTCTTGGAATTCCGTGGTAGTGTAAGGCCTTCTTTCTTAAGTTACAGAGGATATTAGAGGAGGAACTATAATTTAGTGAAAAAGTAAATGAGTTTTTGAATCAACAGTTTGTAAATAAGGCTGATCGATGTAAAACATAATATATAGTTCTTTATTTCCGGAAATTTCAGTAAGATAAGATAAAACTGAAACAATCAAATCCATTCCCACACTTTCAAGCAAGCACATACGATAAGTTTATATGAATACCAATCCTCTTTACCGTAGAATGAAATCTAATAATCCATCATTTTGATCTGGCCAAGAGGATTGTTGAAAGCCTGGAACTCACAATACTTGCAACTCAATGGCATGACAGACTCGATCCCCAACTCATGGTGATGATGATGATTATCACCATGATCATTGTTAAAAGGATCTGCAATCTTACGTGAAATCACGACTGAATTGATGACGTCATCATTTGGATGAAAAACGGAGAGAACTTCGAACCCTTGAAGTTGTTGTGCTTCTACCACTGGATAGAGAGACACGGGCACCATGAGCACTCCTCAGCATGAGCAAAGCACCTGGGGCCATGTGTTGGAACATTCTCTACACAAGATGAAACATGCACTAATACTCACAGTAAAAGAAGGAACATGCAATCTGTAGATAGGACAATTTTCTGTGTATTACCCATTCATGAAAACAGAAAATAGATACATACACGTCCTACACCCTAGAAAATAAACCCTACTCTATTTATAATAATAAACATGCTATGAAAAAGGAGAACTATCAGCTAAAACCACAAACATAGGACTACTAAGTCCACGTTTATTAAAGCTCCACCAAACCAGGTCTTTCATTAGATCAAGTCCTGATTATTCAACTTGTGGATAAGGAAACTGGAGCGACCCATTCGAATCCGTACCCATGAACAACTTAACCCATCAAGATTACCCAACATTCACCCCCGTAATCTTGATGCTTCTTCACCCGTTTCTTCAGCACAACAAAGTCGGTTCTTGCTCTTGTTGCATGCTTCTTCTTTCTTTCTTGCTAACATACAACACCCTTCTACTCCTGCTACTTTCTTCTGATCAACAGGAGTAACCAACCTGCTACTTGCTTAGTTGCTTTCATTCTTTCTTTTGATCACCCTTACTGCTTGCTTTCTTTCTTGTCCGCTACGTGCTACAGGCTACATGCTTGCTATCTTGCTTGCAACCGGCCCTCTCCTGCTTGTTAATCACTTGCTGCTTGCTTCTTCTTTCTTACCTGCTAACAAACAACAAAAAACTGCTCCTGCATCTTTCTTCTGATTAACAAACATGATCGGACTTCTTGCTTGCTTTCATTCTTTCTTCTTTCTTTCTTTCTTTCTATCTTTCTTCTTTCTTCTTTCTTCTTTCTTTATTCTTTCTATCTTTCTTCTTTCTTCTTTCTTCTTTCTTTCTTCTTTCTTTCTTTCTTTCTTCTTTTCTTTCTTTCTTTCTTTCTTTCTAATTTGCTGCTGTGCAGCCTTTCTTCATGCTTACTGCTTACTTTCTTGCTACAGATCAATTGATCCTCCTATCACCAAACTTCTTGCTTTCATCCTCTCTTTCTTGCTGAGAACCAGGTGTGAACCTGGGTGCTCTGATACCAATTGTTGGAACATTCTCTACACAAGATCAAAAATGCACTAATACTCACAGTAAAAGAAGGAACATGCAATCTGTAGATAGGACAATTTTCTGTGTATTACTCATTCATGAAAACAGAAAATACATACATACACGTCCTACACCCTAGAAGATAAACCCTACTCTATTTATAATAATAAACATGCTATAAAAAAGGAGAACTATCAGCTAAAACCACAAACATAGGACTACTAAGTCCACGTTTATTGAAGCTCCACCAAACCAGGTCTTTCATTAGACCAAGTCCTGATTATTCAACTTGTGGATAAGGAAACTGGAGCGACCCATTCGAATCCATACCCATGAACAACTTAACCCATCAAGATTACCCAACACCATGTACTTTGCCAAATGATCAATCACCTTGACCTTCTCATCAGTATCCATCCCTACAAGTGCAGCCAAGAAAATGACATCATATCCCTTCAACTCATCTGTCACATCAGTTATATTGGCAGTGTGGAATACCATTCTTTGGGACAAATCAGAATCAGACGAAACAAGATGAGAGGCCATCAAATTTGCCGAAGAGTCTATGTCATAGTTGTGAAAAATGGTGTCCTTGAGATGATAAGAGGCTAATACAATAGATGTGAGAGGCAAGGGGCCAGACACCACAAAGGCAAGACGCTTAGGGGCTTGTCCAAATGCAGAATAGTGTTCAGTAAGAATGTCAAACTCAAGACGGCTAAGCTTCAGGTAATTGGAGTAGTAAGGGAATTCTTTTAGATGGTGAAGTGGATTTGGAAAGAGCCTAAAATGGTGGAGAAGTGCGCTTCAAGATGGCCTTCAGCCTCACCACAAACTCTTATGAGGTTTGACCTTATTTCTTGAATATTGGCCGGGAGAGTGGATATGTTTATAGAAGAGGGTGGGATGCAAGTGCTGACCAGCTCAGTGAAGAGGCTATCAGCATCTTTAGAGGGTTTCAGACTGTCAAGCTTTGAAATTTTGCGATAAATTGTTGTAAAATACGACGGATCCAAATTGACTTAAATAATATTAGCTCAATGCGGAATGGGATCAAAAATTATCAAAGCGTAATAATCACAACGAAATACGAATAAAATAAATAGAATAGAGACACAAGAATTTACGTGGAAACCCAAATCGGGAAAAAACCACGGGCGGAGGAAGCCGAGAAACAATTCACTATAATTTGCAGTGTTTACAGGGATTATGAAAGAGATTACAAATAGAGTGGGAGAGCTTATCCTCTTTTCCTGTCACGACTAATAACAATAAATCAGATCACGAAATCTTAATTGATAGTGATTACTTCTCAAATTCATAAGTCTATTTTATGTAGACACTGTTATGAATTGTTTTCGAATATTTCCGAAAGTTGGAAAACGATATCCACCAATCGAAGGTAACTTAGTTCGGATGATACTCAGTTCATAACCATTCTAGAAACTTATTTTTGTTCCTTACCAGGACTGCATCATAGGGATGTAGGTCGAATCATTGAGAACAATATAACAAAATGAAAGATTTATACAGAGATACAAATGGATAGAATACATCTAGAGACAACGATAGTCGCTCACGAGCTCATTTTCTTATCATGAAACAGAATCATGCCTCCGAAGGAATGTAACCAACCCACCAGCAAAACACCAATCCTTCAATAGATGCAGCTATGTTTCAAGCTGCAGTCACAACAGCTGTAGCAGTTGTCATGGCACACCTTAATGCTAACAACGCAAATGTTAGTAGTAATGCTATCGGCAATCCCGATCGTGGTGATGACCAAGTACAACAACGAGCACCTAGTTGTAAGGACACTTTGAACCTTAAGCCTAATATCTTGAAACGAAAGTTTGAGAACAAGAAAGGGAGTTGTTCAACTCAAGAACCTAACAGAGGGCAACGAACTGGGGCAGTCAATACCCCCATCAGCCCTGTTATTCTAGCACCGACCACGCCGTACTTAGGAAACCTCCCACACTGCAGCAAGTACAACTACCATCATCATGGAGTTTGCCGAGAGCTGCATTGCAATAGATGCAACTTGAAGGGGCATACCGCCCGGATCTGTAGAACTCCGGTTGAGTTCATCACTTCAACTACCGATGTTGGAACCATTCCCATATGTCACCTTTGTGGTGAAATAGGACATTACAAGAGGGACTGTCCAACAGAGAAGAACGACGGGGGAGCAGGAGGAGTTTGACCCCAATACATGGGAAAGCATCAAAGAACCCTGCTATATTTTGGTACGCTTCCAAACCCCGATAATTATCTATAATTATGATTACTCTCCCGTTTAAATTAAGTCACAGCATCTATATTAAATTTGAAACCCTAACAGGTACGTTATGATGACTTAGTGTATACATAAGGGTCATTTATAATTTAAGATTTGTAAACTTAGAGTGAGTAATCCCGCCTCATTTCCTGTTCCTTGTTTGGTTGTGGATTTAGGGCAGGGTTGCTCAGTCAAAGGTCTTACCAATCTTAATTATACATGACTTGTATACACCAAGCGATTATAGAGAGACCTAGTAAGGATCCTTTCATGAAAGTTCATAATTTTAAATTATCAGAACCCTTGTATTGGTAGTACCCGCCAATTTCGAATCAAAAAAGGGTTCGTAGCGATAATAACAAAATAAAACCAGAAGCGCTGAAAACTTAGGTACATAGGATATCATCCTAGTAATCATTCCTCCCAGAACGACTTAATATATATTTCGTCGATAAAATTCCGACATCCTCATTCGACATGGTTTAGCCTGGCCCTTACCATGTGAAAATTCTTATGCTGTATAAGAGAACTTTTTCCTGAATCAGCCGTAAGATGAAATTCTTCCAATCTATATAACGCAAAACCCTTAGGTTGTCTCTCATTTCAAAACTTCAGAAGTACCCATGCGAAGGGTACCACGCCATTCTAGCCTACTCAGTAGACTGAAAACTTCAAACGAAAAGCACCAAAGTAGTCTTACAAGTCAGTAACTACCGAAGTACCCCAATAGATCTCATAGGAAAATCATTATACCGCAGGTCAAGTTCAAGAATAGAGACTAAGAACTCATTAAGTTAATCTATCGATGCTAAGTGTATACACGAGAGTGGTATATAATTTAGACTTAACAAGATTAAGGATGTGTAATTCCGCCCTATCTCCTGTTCCTTGTTTGGTTGTGGACCTGGGGCAGAGTCACCCATCCAAACGTTTTGTGAAATCTAAATTATATATGAGTCTGATCATGAACTTCGGAGCAAAAGCCTTCATCATATATTCTACCAGGAGGAATTCAACATGAGACCACGACAATGGGTCGAGCTACTAAATGCCTACGAATTCGAAATTCGTTATAATCTCGACAAATCCAATATAGTAGCTGACACCCTAAGTCGGAAAGAGTACCCAGGTCGTAGAGCCAATCATTGACTATGATAACCCATTTAAATCTGTCCACACAAAGTAAGGAGGCTCAAGAAGAAGCCTTGAAACCTGAAGATGTGGCAAGTAGAGAAGATGACTAGAACGTGTGAGTGCACGGTATTCCAATATCTGTTATCTCCGCTGAGATAATAGAATCATCTCCCAGTTCACGCAGTCACTCAAAAATCTCTGGGAACTAGAGTAGTCATGAGCCTATGTGATCGACTATGGTAAATAATGGGATACCCATTTACCAATTAGTCGAGTCCTTTATCACGCTAGCATTCAAGTTCCTCCATTCAAAACCTTCTGCGGTCACAAGTGCATATCCTATCTGCACTGGACTAAATTAGGTAATACGCAACTAGCTAGAGATCCAATTTCCACACAGCACCTTCGCTGATCTGGAATTCATCCGAGAAACTACCAAAAACAAAATACGAATCAGGAAGCGACATAAAGCTTCCAGAGTTAATCAGAGAAGCTACGGCTTCGATAAAAGAAAACCCTTGGAATTCCATGTTGATGACCTTGTCATATGAAGGTCTCACCCCGGAAGGACAAGATACGCTTGAGAAAGCGTGGAATACTAAATTCAAGGTACATAGGACCATTTGATATTCTTACCAGAATTGGTCTTGTACTTATAAAACTTAGACTACCACAAAAACTTAATAACATTGATCTCACCTTTCACATATCTAATCTAAAGAGGTGTCTATCCGATGAAACACTTGTTATTTCACTCGATGAAATCAAGTTAATTAAAAGTCTACACTTTGTAGAAGAACCAATAGAAACCATGGATAGGGAAATCAAAAGAACCAAGCAAAGTCTTATCCCGTTAGTGAAGGTTCGCTGGATTACAAACCGGGGACCTGAATTCACTTGGGAAAGGGAAGATTAGACCTAGTCCATGAGTATCACTTTAGACTTAATTTCGGGAGGAAATTCCCTCTAACGCGGAGATAATGTGACACCAGTCAAATTTAGGTCAAAAATAAATTGATCAAAAATTGTAATTAGGATGAACAAAGTGGTAGAGATTGTAACAAGGTTTCTAAAAATATAAAGAACACTGAAATCCGAGTTATAACGAAGAAGTTATGACCAATAGAAAATCCGCGACAAAACCGACAAAACACTATTCAGTGTAAAAAGTGAATTTTCGATAAAAGACATTTTAGCCTTAACAATCTAAATGAAAGTTGTAGAATATGTTAAACCGAGAAAGTTCATAAAAAGAACGTAAAAATCTTACTTCGTATGAGGAAGTTATGATTTTTCTAAGTTTCGGTTTAGCAGTAGACAACTAAAAATTCGAAATATAAATCGATCATTTAGTTAGCCGACACAACTTAAACGAGAATCGATGGTCTCGTCAAAAGTAGTACAACGGTAAAAAGACAGACGAAAACGGACGTCGGATGAAGAAGTTATGAATTAGCCGACGAAGTCTAAACGAAAGTCGTAGAGTATAATTTTACCTATGCGTGCATATAAAGAACGCCAAAAACGGAGCTCGTATGCGAAAGTTATGAATTTCGCAAGTTTTTGGCCCGAAAATCAAGAAATGTTGAAAACCGGGAATTTTCGCATGGACCCTCTTCGGCCACGTCACCCTCGCATGCGAGGCTTCCATGTGTCTGCTACGTGGCATCTTCTGATTGGACCGCAGTCTCGCGTGGCGCCTTCTGATTCGACCAAAGCCGCGGTTCACTTACCTTCGGACACCCTCGTAGGAGACACCCCTCGAACCCTCGTGGCGCCTCCCCATTGGACCGAAGTTCGGTCCACTCAGAAGCCAACACGCACCTCGCACCGTGTCTTGCATCCGAGCTTCGCAAACCGCCTTAGAATTCGGCCTCGTGGCCTTCGCAGCTGATGACGCGTGGCTGCTGACTCCTCCTTCCCTTCGCCACCTGTCCGAGACTTCGGACTATAAATAGGAGGTGCGAGACCCTCCGGTTCTTAACCCCTTTTTACACCATTTTTGCTCCTTTTTCACCCCTTTCACTTCCATAACTTCACAAACAACCCCCAAGGACCCGGTATCATGTCTAAAACCCGAAGCAAG